CATATGTGTGTGTGTATATGTATGTATATGTATGTGTGAATATGTATGTTAAACCCCCCCCCCCCCCCTTGACTACTTTTTTCCACACAGTGCTATCAGGAATCGATAAGAGAATCGTTAAAGAATCGGATCGATAAGCAGAATCGTCAGTGGCATTGATATTGATAAAATCTTATGTTTCTTATGATAACTGAGATAATGCTGCTATATTTATTTATTTTTTTACCTTGAATGTCATTGCTCGAATTTATTTTTTATATTTTTCATATTTCATATTTTGTTCAAATGGTTAATATAGCCTATATGCTGTTCATATGTTCATTTATTAGTGTGTTATATGATTAGAATGTTGTCCCAGTTTTAAAATAAAGCACAGCAATGATATTTGAGTGTTTCTCCCTTTTCAGGAAAAGTATCGAAAAAGTATCGAAATCGCAATTCTTGACTTGGTATTGGTATCGAAACAATAATTTTGGTATCGTGACAACACTAGTGGAAACATAAAAAACATACTCCGTCATTTTGTTCAAATCATTAAACCTGCAAAGTGTTTACTTATATTTGTGTACACTCGCAATAAAACACAACATTGTGCACACTGTAAACTCTTGTCAAACTGTAACCTACAACTGTCACCCAACCAAAATCACACACACACACACACACACACACACACACACACACACACACACACACACACACACACACACACACACACACACACTGTTTTAAAAGCAAAACATATTTATCCAACTCCATTTCAAAACAGTCTGTGTGTTCCTTTTGGACATTCATCATATTGCATTGGTTTTCATTTCTTGTCCTCGGAGCACTAATCTTACACACTCTACATTGATTAAAAAAAGAAAATCGAATGTGTTTTTAATGGTAGTATTATTTTATACAGAAATCAATTATTTATAATTCAGAAGAGAATAATGTTACATTGTCAATTAATAATGTTAATTAAAATTAAGGAAAAACAAATATTTTGATCTGAGATATAGCAAAATAATTTTAAATTAATTCAGGTACAATTACCAAACATATCGCAAGGTCTTTTTGTCTTTTTATTAATTTAATTAATAAACTAATTATATAAACTATTGTTAGTGCACTACAAATAAACTGGTTCTATGCCTTTATTAATAAAACTTATTTAAAAAATACAATGCCTTCTGCATTTTTGTTTTGCTTTTCCCTCCATTGTACCGAAATCGTACCGAACCGTGATGTCTGAACCGAGGTATGAACCGAACCGTGACTTCTGTGTTCCGTTCCACCCCTACTACTAATATAATATTATTAATTCATATGACCATAATAGCCATGTATTGTAAAACAAATCCACTGAAAAATAAATTAAACTTTCATAATTCGTTTTGTTCTAATTTCTGTACATAAGGATATAGAAATGGGATAAACCTGTGATATTTTATTTTGGCGTAAAACAAGTTTACAAACGCGTCTCATTATAAATCTAGTAAAATGCTGTAATCGCCAACTATGCAAATGTGAAAATAATGCGTAACTGCGTTCCCAAATGCACACTAAACTCAGCACATGCACAGATGTAGTTCACTGCATTCATTCACTGTGAACTGAGACGCGGAGCTGATCATGTGCTGATGGCGTGAGTGAAATGCGCACTTCTCTTTACGCAGCGCAGAGTGAGAAGGACACAAAGCCTTATCGCGCTTTCGATTTTAGTTTGTTAGACAGCAATGGTGCAAAACATGACATTAAAGACCTTTTATGTTATTATGAGAAGTTTAAACATATTTTCGTGCCGCCACAGTCTAGTTAATGAATGTGAAGCACTGAAATCTATTTGTGGCGTACACTGGAATATTCACATTTTAGTAACACGTTAAATAAAGAATAACATATTCATGTTTTAAGAATAAATTCATAAGTTGTAGAATTAAGATTAAAGTTGTGAGGAAAGTTTCATTGTTTTGGCAGCAAATTGTGTTTATGACAAGAAATGTTAGGTTTGGTTCTTTCTTTTTTCACTTTCTTTTATTCTCGTAATTATAACTTTATTCTCAATCTTAGTCAAGTCTGAGGATGAAGTGTTGGGGGAAACAACTCTCTCCAATATTTAGAATTTGGACCGCAGTACCAATTTCAACCACTAGCTGTCAATATTATATACTGCACCTTTAATATGTGAATTATTTGTGACTACTTTGACAGATTATTCAGCAGATGTAATTCAATTATGTATGTATTTTTTTTGTCAATTTGACAGTCCTAGTGTTTGGGATTGTATTCTCATTTTTTTATGCCTTAAAAATGGGAGGATTGTATCCCCTTTTTTAGCCATACCAATGATATTTTGTGATTACCTAAAAAATTACTGCACATGTCTTTTGGTATGCAGTGCAGCCTCATTCTTAATGCAGGGAATAGTAATGGATTGTATTTCTCAAGTGTATTCCCACAGACTTCCCTCAACAACTGTACTATGGGCAATTTATTTTATTTCACGTGTGTAGTTTTTGTGTGTTCGTACCCGTGTATGTGCACAGCAATCTCTTCCTCATTCAAGTCATGTCACAGGCTAGACACTCCATTGTCAAAAGATGCTTTCATCTGTTGGCTTCAAATATGGCTGTCATCCAGTCCAATTATAACACAGAGAAATAGGTACCGTTACGCCTAAAGGATTGATTGAAGACAGAATAGAAAGGGAAGAATGAAATGCCGACATTGATTCAAGGACACACACAGCTAAGGTAAATCAAGTGCTCTACAAAACTCCTAATTTGTTTGGGAATTTAGGGCGTACTGCATTTCAGATAGCTGATATGATGATCAATTGAAGGACTTTACTCGGGCTAACTTCCAGGCATGTGAATGCAAGGAATCCACAGGCGTTACAGGTGACAATAAGCACTTGTGTAACTATGTTTGAAAGCAAATAGTGTGTACAGGGTCCGAAATTAACTTTTTGACTCACCTGCCACGGGGACTGGTAGATTAAAAAATCCACCAGCCAAGCATATTTTGTACCGGCCAAAATAATAAACAGCCTTTTTGTGTCACATATACATTAATTTATATATAGGCTATATTTAATTTTTTTTGTCATATTTCTGGTCTATTATTTTCCATTTTTACTTTTATTTACACACCCATTACACAATTTACACACATTAAAATAATATTTTTGTGGTGGTGCCTATGAAAATAGTTCTGTACAAATGAAATGTATTAATTGTATATTTAATAAAATATATGCAATAATAATATATTATAATTATTTAAAAAAAAAAATTTAGTTTTACTCTGCCTATTTTTTTTTTTTACTCCATTCACTCTGACTGATCCGATTAGTAACTGAAGGACTGGAAATATCAGTTGTTTTAACCATTCATTAAAATGAATCGGTTCAAAGGAGTCATTAGTTCGCGAATTGGACGTGTCATTGTCGGATGTTAATCATGCGTTGTGTGATTATCCCGGCAGCTGGACATCCCTCAAGATTTGTGTCAATACAGAAAACTTTTCATCACTGGATAGGTTTTTTTCGTTTATTTAAAGTGTGGTTTATGTCAGCTGAATGTGCGGAACGATTTTCAGAGAAGATAAGGTATTTTAGCACAATTCACACCCAGCAGTAATTCAGGAAAAAACATATCCGAATGCTCCACATGAAACTTTAGTCTCCTGACCTTTTACCATCGTGTCGATTTATTTTGATTAATATGTGACAAGGAGAGAGAGCAAGACAGCGCTTAGGACGGAGACGGTGAAGCCTTGTTTATACTTTCGCTTAGCTCCGAAGAGAAAAAGTGCGCGCGCGCGCGACCGGGGCTCTCTCTCTCTGCTCGTTCCTCAGTTGCGCCCTGTCACACGCACTACTGTCGTCTACATTACTCACCGATCAAATAAGACTATGGCGGGATAAAAATTCGCTTTGGAGCAGGAGCATCGATAAGAGGACTCGTTAACGTTAACTAATTACATTACTATTTTGGTATGAACATTCACCCGCCAGTGGGGCGGATAGCCTTTTGAGATATACTCGCCAAACGGAAAATCTACCCGCATTTGGCGCTTGGCGGGTGTTAATTTCGGACCCTGAGTGTGTAGTATGATTAGTATGTTATTACTGGACCACCTACTGCTTCATTTGCCAGAGTGTATTTTGTAGAGTACTGCATTTCACAATGAAAAGCTCTTAATTTTACCTTTATGACAGCTTACTTATTTAATCTTAAGAGACATTTTTACACAAAATAAATAAATGCAAAACCAAGATGACTTTATTCACTGAATTAAACATTACATTTAGTGATCGGCGGACATGTAACAACATTGTACTATACAGCAGTTTGAAACCTTTATCATTTTAAACTAGCTAGGGGTGGGTCAAGGCCGTAACCAGGGTTTGAAAATTAGTGAGGTCCGGGGTGAGGTGTAAAGCATTGTGCTATAATAACATCCACAAATGCAACTCATACACTCCATATAACCTAAACTTTAAAATAGACAGACATGTAGATGTTTGTGAAATATTTTTTTTATTCAATATAATGTTTTACATTTTACAGTCATGTTACAAACTATTTACAGGCTATTTGCTATAGCTTGTGTGTGTGTGTGTGTGTGTGTGTGTGTACTACTCTTCAATCCTTGGCTCACTGAAATGACAAAATAAAAAAGACAGATTCAGACTTCAGACATATAGTTTATAATCAGTGCAAAAGCAAAAGGGAAATGAATGTTGGATGACTATACTCTACATAACATGCATTACCTTTCCATTGAAGGCTAGCTGAATCCTCCTGTGGCCAGAGGCATCCCATCGTCTAAGGACTCTCTCCTTGTCCAGCTTAATTTTTTGATGAACATGCATCAACGCCAGTCCTGTGAGCCTTTCACTAGACATGGAAGATCTCAGCCATGTTTTGAGCCTTCGCATTGCAGAGAATGATCTTTCACATTCGCATGTTGTCACAGGAAGTGTAAGAAAAATTTTCAGCATGCACTGGATGTTGGGGAAGAAGGCCATCTGTGTGATTTTCAGAGTTTCCAATGCTGATGCAGGCAGCACCCCATCTACAGAGAGAAACTTGTGCCTCCAGCATTCTATTTCCTGCTCTGCTGTGTTTGGGTAAGGTAGGTCCTCATGGTACCACTTTACCAGTCTTTTCTCTCTTTCTTCTGTGAGCTTCTTCAAAGCGTTTGGTACCAGGTAAGCTGCTAGTAATGCAGGCTCATTACTTTCAGAGAATCTCTCATCCAGCTCACTGGTTATGTGATCTATGAAGGGATAGAAGAGATTCACCCGATAGTGGTGTTCCACTGACTCTGTGGATATGTTTGGTCTGTAATTCTGTTTTACAGACACTCTACGCTTTGCTGGGACCACATCAACTGAATTGGCCAATGCTGTGGCTTTTTGAAAACATGGACTGAATCCTTGCTCATTTCTTTGGTTGGCTATGACTTGCCGTACATTTCTTGCCTCCTCGTATGCTGTGATGATGTCCAAGTTGGTAGACTGCAGCTGTTTGGTTAGAGGTAGCATATAACCCAGCACTTTGTTGGCTATTACAGCTGTAATGATGGTCTCAAATGTCCCAATACTATGCCGGAGAGTACTGGCCTTTCCAGAGGTGGTAGTTACTTCTGCCTCCATGGTCTCCAACACAGAATGTATAGAAGTGAACTTCTCCACAAAAGCACTCAGTGTGTTTGCTCTGCTACCCCATCTAGTGTCTGACATAAGTGGGATCCCTGCTGTTCTTGGTTGCCCTTCTCTTGTACTCTCTGCCCGCAGGGCATCTTTCCTGGCCCCTGTGGCTGAGAAGAACACGGCAATTTTTTCTATGATGGACATTGTGTTTCTCACTAAAGGAAGATCAGAACAACCATGCACCACAACCAAATTAAGTGCATGGCTCCTACAATGGGTGTACACTGCCCTGGGGTACAGTTCCTTGATTCTCTTTTGTACCCCACTCACTTTGCCACTCATTGTAGAGGCCCCATCATAGCCCTGACCCCTTAGGAAAGTTGTCTGAAGACCCCACTTTGTCAGCTGATTGAGAATGGCTGAGGTTATTGTTGCTGCATCTTGTTTGGGCAAGGGACAGAAACCGAGAAAATCCTCCTTTATCTCTAGGTTTTCTTCCTCCTCATTGACGTAACGGACACATATGGACATCTGTTCAGTCCCACTTATATCCAAGGACTCATCGGCTAATACAGTGAAGTACCTGGCTGCCTGTATCCTTTTGATTAGGGTCCCTCTGATTTCCTCTGCACAACATTCAATAAGCTCATTCTGAATTGCGGGTGAAAGGTATATTGCATTTTTGGGTGCAGTCTGCATGTGTTGCTTTAAGGCCACATCAAATTGTGCTTTCCAGTTAATGAAGTGGTTAAAGTTTCCATTCTCACTGTCCCCTTCCCAGCTCCCGCGGAATGCAATATTTCGCTGGCCAAGACACACAATTATGTCAATAATAGATAGAAGACTGTTACGATTTGCAATGACCTTTTCTTCATACTTCTGGCTGATAATTGAACTAATATCCTTTCTCTTTTTTTGGATAACAGAAAGGAAGTTTTCTGCCTTTTCTGTGGATTTTCTGTGTCCTTCTGTTAAACAGTGTCTTGGGATGATTCCTCTCTTTTCACCCACAGCATTCTTCCAGTCAGTGAAGCCCTTCGTAAGAAAACTAAAGTTTGAGCCCTTTAACTTATTAAAGCTGAGGCAATGAGCACAATATGCTGAATCCTCAAATGGTGAGTAGCGAAGCCATTCGTACTTTTTCTCCCACTGGACATTGTATCTTAGTTGTTTTGCGCCAAATGTACGATAGGGATAGATATGTTGCTCTGGTGGTATCCATCTATTTTGGAGCAAACAGGCTTTATCTCCATCTGTGAGTCTCTCCTCCTTAATTATTTTATTCTTTATTCTCACAGGGTCAAAGGGATGTAGAGTCCCATCTTCAGTGTTCTCGCTGCCCTGTTCATCACTAATGTCATCCTCATCTAAGTTCCTCTGCTCTCTGTCCTCCTTCTCATCTCTATCCTCTTCCTCTCTGTTGCTCTCCTCCATCTTGTTTCGATCTCTATCTTCCTCTCTGTTGTTCTCTTTTGTCTCCTCATCTCTATACTCTTCCTCTCTGCTGCTCTCCTCCATCTTGTTTCGATCTCTATCTTCCTCTCTGTTGTTCTCTTTTGTCTCCTCATCTATATCCTCTTCCTCTCTGTTGCTCTCTTTTAGCTCCCTCTCATCTATATCCTCTTCCTCTCTGTTGCTCTCCTCCATCTCGTTTTGATCTCTATCCTCCTCTCTGTTGCTCTTTTTTGTCTCCTTCTGATCTCTATCCTCTTCCTCTCTTTTGCTCTTCTCTCTGTCCTCATATTCATCATCCTGATATTTCAATTTAGGCTTTTTTTTAAGAAAAACATCTAATGTATTTTGCCGGAACCTTTTTGCCATTCTACACTCTCTCTGTTCTGTCTGTTTTGGAGGATAAACATTGTCAAATTAGACCTTTATTGCATCACAATTTGTAATGTAACAATACTGCTTACTGTAATAGATTTCCATAATAAACATTGCTATAAGGATAAGTAATAATAACTTTGTCTGTGCTCTAACGCAGTGGTTCTCAAGTGGTTACGCGATTGGACCCACATTTCCCCATGGACATTAAGCTGCAACCCTTTTTTGCTTAAAAGAATTTGACATATATATATATATATATATATATATATATATATATACACATACTGTATATAATAATGACACATACTGATGAGTATGTACACTCTAAAAAATGCTGGGTTGTTTCAACCCAAATTTGGGTCAAATATGGACAAACCCAAATGTTGGGTTAAAATGTAATTTACAATTTTAACCCAACTTCAACTTTCACTTTCAACTGTAAAAATCTAAATTTTTTACCCAACATTTGGGTTTGTTCATATTTGACCCAAATTTGGGTTGAAAAACCCAGCATTTTTTAGAGTGTATGAGATATAAGGTATTTGGTAAGGCTAGTAATAGCAGTTCCAAAATAGTTTTGTTAATATGTTTTTTACATTTAGAAATATAGTAGGCCTACAAATACACGGTGACAAAAAAGTGGCATTTTGTAGTTAAACAAACAACTGTTACCATGGTAAATACACAATATTAACATGAGCTGTTGAACCTGACCACTGATCCTGATGAATAGCGCGAACATTGAATGAACACACCTGCATGTCATTCTAAGCGAATGCATGAAGTTAGATCATTTATTGGCACTTTTTGATTTTGTATTTTTAATGATTTACTATTTTACATCAAACTACGAATATGATGTTGCATCTGATCATGCTTGTAGTTTATTTTCTTTTCTTTTCTTTATAATGAAGTGACATACGCGCGCTCCCGCATATGCGCGTGTAATTGAAGAGTGCGCGCAACAAGCACAGTATGTCAGGACAAGAAAGTTCGGGTTTTTTAGGTGAGAGACTTTTTATTTTGTGACAAGTTATAAAAAATAACGTTAGAATAATTACACTAACATAAAACTTGACATTGAAAACATCTCATCTGACCGTAGGTACTAAATGAGGACGTTTTTCTCAGGCCCTGAAAGAACAGTCAACCGCTTTCACGTCTTTCACAAAAAAAGTCTACCGGCAGAAAAACAGAATTGCGTTTGTTGTTTCTTTGACTGCACACTCCGTGACCCACTCAAAACCTTTTTGCGACCCACCAGTTGAGAAACACTGCTTTAATTAATGTTTTTATGATGACTTTGTGAAAGGTTAACTAAACAGCTTCAGCCGTCTTCCTGCTGGCCAGTATTTGGCATATAAAATTCTGTAACATACAGATCATTGCTATTATTTTTGATAGGGTTATACATTATTAACAGATAATCACGATGATCATTGCCTTGTCTTACCGAATCTGGAATCTTCCTGTCAGCAATTACAGTTTGTTTGTAAGCTTTTTTTTTTATTAATGCCGGTAGTGAAATGTTGCCAGATATTGCTACGAAAAAGAAGCAAAAAAAGTAATAATAATAATAATCCGAAATAAGTTCAATGCTTGAGTTTTGGAATTAAGATTAATATATCACGAACACTAAAATGCAACTTTCCACTTTAATAACTTCCTAAAGTGTGACATTAAATCAGAAAAACAAGTCCAGAAGACAATACTGCCACCTTTCCATTAGGTGGATCTGGTAGGATCTGGCACCCGCGCCCTTACTCACAAGCATAGCTCACAACGCGCTCTCAAGCCCCGTTCACAGCGCGCTAGATTCTCGCAGCAAAATGAATTGCAAAAACTCATCTGAGGTGTTTTAAACAGCTAATTAATCACTCAGAGAGCTTAAAAAAAAAAAAAAAAAAAAATTGGAATGTAAAAAAATAACCGAGGTCCGGACCTCGGTGACCTCATAGCTGGCTACGGCCATGGGGTGGGTGATATACTGGTAAAGACGATAGACTAGTAGAAATTTGTCAACTGTTTGAGATTTTGGATTATTTTGCTCTATCGCAGTTATGTTTACGCAAATGCGTTTTTAAGCCTTGCAGTTTTAAAACAAGTGATTATAAAACCTTCAGTCACTTAGCATCTAAAGAGAACTCCTTTCGATACACACGCTGTCTGTACTCAGAGTACTGCTCATAGTACTGAATGAGCGCGAGTACTAAACAGTTCTTTTTGGTGTCTTATTGGGCTTGAACAGTCAAATACAAACACACTTATGTGCCAAAATGCCTGTCTGTGAGTATCCTCATAAACAGTCATTTATGTCTCTTAAGTGGATGTAAACAGTTGAGAAAGAAAACACGTGGAACAGTATATTAGATCTGTGCATTCGTCAGCGTCCTTATAATCCTGCTGTAGTCTGTAATGTTAAACAACAAAAGACAAAGAGAAAATCACAGGCTCTTGACTGAATAACTTTTGTAACTTTAATAAATTAAGACTATGACCAGATTTCAGCAACACACCAGCATGAGTTGAATTTCAATTCAAACACCCCCACACTTTGATTCCTAAATGAAAACGATTCGGCTGTCTATTTAACCTTTGACAAGTACAATCACAGTGAACATTCAAATATGCATTCGTCTTGCTGCTGAGAGAGTAGTTGGTATGAAACAGCTTGTCATTTCAACTACATGTATCATTTATCTTACACTAATTCAAACTCACAGAACTACTGGGAATACAACTTTATAGTTCAGATGAAAACACTGATAAAGTAATTTAACACCTCAAATAATAATTGTATTGATTTCATCGTTACTCCACAAGGTGGCTAGCCTGGCAAGCCAGACCTACATCAAGATGTTAGGTCTGGGAACTCACAATTGGCATTCCTCAATCCGAGGGGTGGGATAAACGGTTGTCTTTCAATATCCCTTGGCACGCAATTGGATAGCGCTACAACCAACCAGAGCAACGAACGGCTGTGGCTGAGTGAGTCCCATGCGTTTTTCCACCAGTGAACCAGCTAGTTGGTATATTAAACTTTTGCCGTATCCGGTCGTCAAAACTCTGAACACATCTTCCTTTTTTAGGAATGACTTAAGTGACGTTCTCTTAACTCCAAGTCATCCAGAGTTGCGGGCAAAGCCGATTCGAAAGACCGCTGTTCGCCAGCAGCATCTTCTTTGTTTTCAAGCAGAGGGAAATCACCTATGGAAATCACGCGGAACCGTCATAACTCTGCCGTCATTATGTTAAGCCCGCCCACCAACTCTACACGATCTGATTGGGCGGACCAGTTTTTGGTTTTTCCAGCTCAAAAGTCTATGGAGAGTTGCTAGACCACACTTTGCTGCAAACTAATTTTTGCTGCCGCTTGGGTGCGCCTAGATTTCTAGGCTACAAGGTGGCGACAAGTGACTGTTAAAAAATGTATTTGTCATTGAATCATTCATTAAAGAGATTTGTTTGAAAAAACACTGATTCATCCAGTAGTGAAAAAAGTGAAGTCTTTATGAGTCACTGAATCATTCATTCAAACTGGCTTTTTAAAATAGTAGACTGCAGCAATTAACATTTTGTCAGAACCTCGAATAAATTACCTTATTTTGTTTAGTTGTCTATTCAAAATCGTGATCTCTATTAAAAACAAAAAAACATAAACGTGATTATCAATTTATCCAGAATCATGCAGCTCTACTAGTATGAGGTAAAAAATAAGCTAGTATTCCTTTAAAAATTAACTAGCATTAATCAACCCATTATGCTTATGCTGGGTTAAATAAACAACCCAGCATGCTAGGTCAAAATAACCCACGTTAGGTTTGTCCATATGACCCAGCAGTTATTTTATTTTCAGCCCGAAGGTTTTTAGAGTGTTGGCTAGTACTTTTTTTTTCTTTTTCTTTTTGTGATATTGAAATTGAGAATTATGAAATGGTATAAAAAAATGTTGATATCATAAAAACATTTAAAGCAAAACAAACTATTGTGATATATATATATATATTGTTATCAATGCAAACAGACGGGAAATAAAATTACTCGTATTGTGATAAGATTTGGGTCATATCACCCACCATGATTCTAGCCTGGCTCCGCCCTCCTACATACTTCTGCTCAATTTTCATTTTCCTTCAGTACTACGTCTGGGATTGTGGTGTATTCTTTGGTTTCCTCCGGTCAATTTTTTACCGGTCCAATCAGCGAACAGAGGGAGTGGCTGAGAACGATGATGTGCGCTAGCTTGAGTGGTTTGAGTCGTCATACGTTACGACTTACGACCAAACTTCAGCGATTGGTTATGGCAGATCCAATAGTTTTAAACTTCAACAGAGTACCCGCCTACAAGGAAGTTAACGCTTGTCAATGCAGCGAGGCCAGACTCTCTGTACAAATGAAATGTACGAGAGTCTGGTGGGACCAGGCTACCATGATGCTAGCACTAGCTATGTTTGAAACCGAATACTGTAATTCTGCCCAGATATTTCTGTGGTAAAATTAAATAGTATGCATATTGTGCACGTAATGGGAAATTGTTGGATGACATTCTGCATTTCACGGAATACCGTATCCCGCAATGTCCTATTTGATGTGATGTGAAATTTTGTTGATTGGAATGTTAATAGATTTTTTCACCAAAGAGGAGATCAAACTGGACACCACTTGCTGAATTAAGCAATGTACAAAATCATCTTGCAATATTGTACAATACTTTTAATACTTACTTTACTTTTTTTGATACATTTAATGATGCATAATGTGTTGTTTCAAATACTATTGATTGTACATACTATGTCTACAGTATGTGCTGTGCAGTATTCAGCACGTAAATATACCCAGCTTTAGAGAGTGCCTTATGCTTAACTCTAAATGATTTGTAACAACATCTTTAGTTCAATGACACCAGAAGATACACTATACTC